GAGGTTTGTGACACAGACTTTCAGCTTGTTGAGTAACGCACGTTTTGTGGTTCGCTGGCAAAGCGGGAGGAAAGCTTTGCTTGCTGCATCGAAGGTCTTTGTTCGTTCGTGCACTCATCTGAACTGCTTTCTGAACGGCTTTAACCTGCCACTAATTCAGCTCCCTAACTGACCTGAAATCAAACAAAACCGTTCTCTTTGGGGTCCCTCCTGCCCCCTCCCTCCATTTGATGTGTTGTTTTAAACTAACCAGTTAAAAATCAGAAAACCTTGCACGCCGTAATATCAACCAAGGAAATGTATTAAAATGCTTACGTCTTGCAGGTGTTTTCTGCCAGCTTTAGTGTCTTTTTCATAACCACTTCTGCAGTTTTATGAAATAATAAAATTTTAAAGCACGCTAATTTCTTCTTGTTCTGATCAGTTCATTAATTATCAAAATAGTAGAGAACAAGGCTTGTGAAATGCAACTGCAATGGAAGCATTCTAATCAGCTCAAGAATGCAGGCGATTCTTGCCCCACAGCTCCACAGGACGGACCTGTGGCTTTCATGTACCTTGTAAAACTTCAGCTCTTGACTAAAGACACGCACGCAATAACTACTCTCAACCGTATCTTCAAGTTTTTCCTTAAAATAGTTAAAGTAAACCTAACCTCTGCACCTGTTTGCATGGTTTGTAAATCATGTGGGTTGTACATCTTGGCTAATAAATCTTGAAAACTCTTGCTAAGAGTATTGTATGAAAAGAAGACTTCAGTTATTCATAATTACTTCACTTGTCATTTGTATAGAAAATTACTTGAAGCCTTAAGAAATCAGTGGCCAAATTGATTTCCTTTATCTGTATGCAAATTAAACGATCATCCATTTTATAGATAACTTCAGGTATATTCCTGTTTACAGAATATGAAAAATCAGATTTTGATGGCTTATTGTTCCAACTTGCCAACTATTGATAAGCTTGGGAAAATAAGGCTGACCGTAAGGCAGATTTGAAAGCTGTAGCCAGGTACCACAAATGAAACACAAGAGTGTTGTAATGGCTTGTTTCAGTGACATCAGTGAGATTCACAAGATGCAGTTTACCTACACGTTACCTGCCTACTTCCATTAATTGTTTTAAAAGCATGTGTTATCTTTTCATTCTGTAGAAATTCAGAATGTTTCTTTTCAAATCACAAGTGTAACTTGCACGAGTTGCTGGAAAGCGTGGCAATGAGCTTTCTCTGAGATATTAATCTGAAAGGATACCGATTTAGCACAGTATTAGCGTCAAAGCTATTCAACTGCATGACCATTCCCACTAGTAAGAAAAATGTTACCGAGAGGTATTTAGTTACTGGAATAGAGGGAAATTATGCTAGAATTAAATGTTCAGCTTTGTCGGAACCGCATACTGAGTGAGTAACTCCTAAGGCCTCTGTTTACAGATCCGCTTGAAATCATCTTTGAAGCCAGTCCACATCCATTTTTCTTCCAACTCTCTGCTACCTTTAAGAAATTTTAATCCCTGAAATGTCTTGTCAATTCAATTTTTGGGACGCCTGCCACCAAATGGCTGCTCCTACATCCCCAGAAGAATGTTAGCAAACACAGAAGTGTTACAGGACAGTCAAAAAAGAGATGCTAACGATATGCAAAGTAGTCAAAGAAGAAAGCTGGAAAAATGCAGTCAAAATGTAAGGAAGGGATCATTCAGCTCTAGAATAAACTTGAGTTCCAAGGCCAAAAACCTTTCCTGCATGCGGACTAGAGTTTTCTCAAGATATTTTTATTTCTCTTTTCATGACTGCTGGTTGAAAATGAAGATGTAAGGAAGTCTAGCTTTTCTGACCTTACAGGGGTTTTGTGAGTTTACTTGACTACTAGAGGTAATTTAAATAACAATAGGTCAACATGCTTTTTGGCTGGACAGAAGCTAAAAATCCTATTGCGAGGAACGGTACCTCTGTAGAGGGTTACAGGGTTTCTTCTGGCTAATTTTGGTAATGGGTTAAACCCCAACAATTTCTCTTGCAGCAACTGTTTTAAAAATGATGCTGTAGAAAGCATGGGGGAAGGGATAATTCATGAGTGCTAATTGCTTGGCTGTTAATTTTCATAAGTGTTGATAGAAGCAGTTCCTTAAATTAAACTTTGTTTAAAATGTATCAAGGGAAATATTCCACAATGTCGGGCCTGAAGTGAAAATTAATATGAATGCTGTTGCAATTAACACGTACTGGTTAATAGCTTTTAGCAGCATTTTGGGATGGTAGTCCTTAAATACATTTTTGCATGCTGCTCTTGTTTCAGTCTTGTTTGCCTGTATGTCTGGATAATCATGAACAAATGTTTTCCACAATCTCCAGTATTAAATAGCTTTACTCAAAGAAAGTAGATAAAGAACTTAAGAAAGAAGCAATACTGCTTTAATTAATATGGAAAATGTCTAAAATAATTAATCCAGGATTAAAATCTCAGTGTGAAAAAATGCATTTTTTTTGTTTAAAAGTTTTGCCCCTAAGCTGAGTAGAATGATCCTCATCTGAATCCTCGATAAATTTGCACAG